TGCATAAATAAAATATGCATTTCCTTCTGTTCTACCCAATGCAGGCAGGAAAAGTGCCCTTCTGTAAATTTCATCTTGGGGATCGGCCCATTCCAGTAACCTTTAAGCGTGCAATAGCTGCTCTCAGCCTGTGGCAGAAGGCTCGTCTGGCCTGGGGCCTGTGCTTCCTCTCTGACCCCATCAGGTACAAGTCTACACCTCTTAGTCTTTATATGCACATTGATCACTCCTTGACATTTTTAAGAAGTCCCTTAGAATCTAGAACTTCATATGGTGTCTTAAAAACGAGACAGGAAAAACACCAAGACACGACAGGCAAAGATGCAGGTCTGCATGCGTACATAAAATAAAAAGGTTTGCAAAATGGATTGCTGTGGGCTGGAAGCAATAAGTTTATCTTAAATTATAAGAAATAAACCAAATAATAAGTTGACTATATATATATATATATATGTTCTAAAGGCTCAGATTTCTTGTGCCACAGGTAAATCTTGAATTTATTTGAGGGCTTTTTTCAGCGCAAATTGATATACAATTATTTGTGATTTAATTTAGACAACGTTTATTGTTAATTCAATATTAAAGAAATATAAAAAGTAATTGAATTGATTGACAACCTTCATATTTTTATTGTTAGTATTATTTTTAATCTGCATAAAGGCAGTGCAGCAAATTGGTGTATAAATACATAAATTAAATGATATATTATATACAGTTCTTTAGATAAAGCCTTACACTAATGATAATGTTTTTTTTGTTTATAATCTGCATAAAGGCAGTGCAGCAAATTGGTGTATGAATACATAAATTAAATGATATATTATATACAGTTCTTTAGATAAAGCCTTACACTAATGATAATGTTTTTTTTGTTTTGTTTTTTGCGTTGCATTAATGAGAATTGGGGGGTGAGGTTTCATGCTTAAATTAAGCACGAAATTCCAACAAGCTTAATGAAGCCTTGACTTAGGACCGTTATTTTAATGACAATTAATTACTGATGTTAAAATAATGGTCCTAAATTTTGGCTTAATTTTGTTTAAGCAAAACTTTTTCTTATTGTGGGTGAAATATAGCCTGGACATGCTCTTGTTTGGTTGAAATTTACATGAATCTGATTTTGATATGTATTTTTGTTCTTATCAGCAAGGAGGATGTAGAGAAGTGCAAACAAAAGGATCTTCTTGAGCAGACCATGTCGGAGATGATAGGCGAGTTTCCAGCCCTCCACCGCACTATTGTTGCAGAACGAGACATCTACCTCACACACACACTTCGACAAGCAGCGCGCTGTGTGGAGGCGCCTCCTAATGCTGAGAGTGAGTACTGCATGCTGTACTAATGATGCAAATTTGATTGAGAAAAATATCTTGAATTTAAAAATACATATTCTGGTATACTTAGTGTTGTTATTGTTAAAAGGATAGTTCACCCAAAAATGAAAATTCTGTCATTTACTCACCGTCATGTCTTTCCAAACCTGTATGACTGTTTTTCTTGGAATATAAAAGAAGATTTTTTTTCGAAGAATGCTTGTAACCAAACAGTTTCGGTTCCTATTGACTTCCATTGTATTTTTGTCCATGTTTGGTTACCACCATATCATCTTTTAAGTTCCACAGAAGAAAGTAAGTCATACATGTTTGAAAAGACATAAGGATGAGTAAATTATACAATTATACAAAAGCTTATTATAAAATTACTAAAAATAAATGCAAACTAAAATATTAAAATAAAGGCTAATTCAAAATAATAAATATATAGGATAATAGTATATAAATAATGCTAAAATAAAACTGCCAGTGCTTCATTCAAGCAAGAAACATATTTGGAGTCATGTTACTTGTTGTAACATGAAACCTCACGTTCATATGCTCTTTTTTTTTTTTTCCCCCTCAGAAGTGCCTGCTGTGGTGGTTGGAGTGGTCGGGATGGGTCATGTTCCTGGAATTGAGAGGAACTGGGATAAAGAGCTCAATATTCATGAGATCATGAGGTACGTACTGACACAGTTGCATGTACTTTGGTATCTAATAGTACAGTAAAGTATCATGACAAAAATCATTTTCTTTTTCTCTTAGCGTGGCGCCACCATCTCGCTTTGCCTGGGTAGTACGCAGCGTGTTGAAGGGAGCCATGTGGGGGCTTCTGGGTTATGCCTGCTTCCGTGCCAGCAAGGGCGTGGGGAGGGCGTTACTCTCCTTTCCGACAGTCCAATCGTTGCTTGAAAATATACAAAAACCTTCCGTTTGACCCTTCTTTTATTGGCGCAGACTTTTCAGCAGTGAGATCAGGATGTCACACTGAACACCAATAGCCTTAACTACAGGATGGTGGTTGGGTAAAGGGGAAGATTAGAGGCAAACATCCTCTCCATCCCATATGAAATAAACAATGGGGTGGAAGCTTTTGACTAGCTCTCTACCTCCTCAACTCTCTGTCCATCTGCTCTGTGTACTTGTGGACGCAGAGCTGTACTGCCAAAGAAATCGGACCGTGCTTTCTTTCCCCTTTTCCTCATTCTTAAAATATGACCTACGAGGAAATTAGCTGCAGCGGGATCTCCCACGTTATCATTCAACTTGAACTGAAGTTTTTTTTGTTTTGTTTTTTGGCTGTGATTTATTCTGTTGGTTGACTCCTGCAAGTGGTTGATGCATTTTGTTTCCCAGCAGGTGGTACTGTTTCAGCAGTCCAGTACTGTTAATCTGCGACCTACCATAATCTTTAGTTCATTAAGAATGATTGGTAAAGCCATTTTATTTTATTAATGGAACCGTATCCCGGAATTATTTTTTAAAACCTGAATTGCGCAATAGGACCATTTGTGAAGAAAAGCATAACTCTAGATTTTATTGAAAGTATGACTTGATAAATACATGTAATGCACATTGGGAAAATGATTATGACCAAAGTATTTGTGGTTTCATTGATTGAATTTGTATGTTTCTGACAAAAAGGCTTAAAATGAGTGAAACTGAAACAACCCCGAACAGTGTTTAAGAGCTTCAAGTCACATCCAGTAATCTTCACTCTATGTGATCTTCACTCTATGTGGGGAAGCATGGTTGCTTGGTTTTTCAATTTACCTGATAAGCCCAACATAAATTTTGCCCAGGCTACCTATTAAGTGCCTCCTACTACATGACCTGGAAAGGGCTAAAAGGAACAGAGACGGGTCAGGGTGTTTTGCTCTCACTCCATATGGTCATAATAAATGGTACTATTAAATCTGGAGTCCACGGTTTCACTCACACAGTTTCATAATTTTGTTCTTGCTAATGGAATGTAATGGTTTCTAGAAATTAGAGAATTATGTAATTAATTAGACAAGCTGCATTGTGTTTATGCAATATTTTGTTGTAAGATGAGAGATCCAATCAATTTTTAAGAAACAAACTGCTGTTCCCCCGAATTTAAGTATTTTCATTACTGTCTTTTGCTACTGTTCATAGAAGCGGAGTTGCCTAAAGGTCAATTTCACTAAATTGGAAACAACTTAATGTTAATGCTTACAGTATGATATTACTCTAACACGTCTAACACGTATAATCTTTTTTATACATTCATCATGACATTCTTCATAATAATTCACCACTAACTCAAAAGTCATGAGTCACATGAAAACATCAAAATGACTTGAAACTATAAGTGTAGAATAACCAAATGCAAGAAACCAAGAGTAAGTGTAGAGAACCATTAAAAAAAAAGTAAAGCTGACAAGAAAATGCTTATAACAGGAAAGACATCACTAGCATGGGCCATCAGGGCACAATTTGGGAACCATGCTTTATATGGATGGATGTAGGAAAGGTGTTTCTGCTGTTTGTGTGCTTACATTTAATTTGTCTGCCAAATGAATAAATGTAAATGTAAAGTCTTATACAACTGGAATTGCTGGTTCATATGTTGACTTTGTTTTTCCATGTAGCTTTATACAACTGTGTCTTATAGGGTGACTGAAAATCTATTTTAAATGTGGCGTCTAGGTCACAGGCACATTTGAAGCACATGACACTTGAGTGTGGTGGGGAATGCTAATGCCATCTGTTGTTCTTTTAAATGTTTAGATGCTGAATGGAAATTGCTCTGTTTTGAACTATAGTGGGCTCAAATTAAGATGTGACTAAAGCTTTGCATGCATGCCATGTGCATTTACAGGTATGCTGGAGAAGGAAATGACTATATGGATGTATCTGCATGATTTCTTGTGTAGATGGTTTGTTGGGATTATTTAATTGAAGTTTTTAAAACATATTGTAATGATTTTAAATATATATTAGCATTCTGAGATATTTGTCAGTGCTTAATGGTGCTTAATGAGTATTTCTATTTGCATAACACCGGTCCCTGCATTTAAATGTTATCATAAATATGGTGCAAGGTGATTGCAAACTAATTAAACTGGTTGACTAACTGATTAATTTAATACAATTTATTTTTTAAAAATCTACTGATCCACTGACCCAGTAGTCTAGTTCTCCTGCTGTAACATTTGTATTGAATGTCGCTGTCTTCCTGAAAACTAAAACTGTCTTCCTGTTAACTTCATGCAGTTTGACTTTTTGATCATCTAGATCTGCTGCACTTTTTGGGTGAGAAATGCCATGGTCAAAGGTATTTGATACATCTCTTTGTACATCCTTCAGCTTTACTGCTCCAATTTCATTTTTTTCTAACCATTGTTAACTGTGGAAAAGGAGAATAAATGGTCCCACTTCTTTTGTTAGTGCTATCTTTTTTTTTTTTTTTGATTTTCAAGAAGCTAAATAGTTAATGCTCAAATATATCTCATATATCTTACATTCTTAAATAAATTTTCCAACATGTTATATTTGTCTTTCGTATCTTCAGCTCTTAAGCTTGTACAGTAAGTACTTTATATAGTGTACATGTATATGTGTGTGTCTATATATATATATATATATATATAGTTACTTGTTGTAACATGAAACCTCACGTTCATATGCTCTTTTTTTTTTTTTCCCCCTCAGAAGTGCCTGCTGTGGTGGTTGGAGTGGTCGGGATGGGTCATGTTCCTGGAATTGAGAGGAACTGGGATAAAGAGCTCAATATTCATGAGATCATGAGGTATGTACTGACACAGTTGCATGTACTTTGGTATCTAATAGTACAGTAAAGTATCATGACAAAAATCATTTTCTTTTTCTCTTAGCGTGGCGCCACCATCTCGCTTTGCCTGGGTAGTACGCAGCGTGTTGAAGGGAGCCATGTGGGGGCTTCTGGGTTATGCCTGCTTCCGTGCCAGCAAGGGCGTGGGGAGGGCGTTACTCTCCTTTCCGACAGTCCAATCGTTGCTTGAAAATATACAAAAACCTTCCGTTTGACCCTTCTTTTATTGGCGCAGACTTTTCAGCAGTGAGATCAGGATGTCACACTGAACACCAATAGCCTTAACTACAGGATGGTGGTTGGGTAAAGGGGAAGATTAGAGGCAAACATCCTCTCCATCCCATATGAAATAAACAATGGGGTGGAAGCTTTTGACTAGCTCTCTACCTCCTCAACTCTCTGTCCATCTGCTCTGTGTACTTGTGGACGCAGAGCTGTACTGCCAAAGAAATCGGACCGTGCTTTCTTTCCCCTTTTCCTCATTCTTAAAATATGACCTACGAGGAAATTAGCTGCAGCGGGATCTCCCACGTTATCATTCAACTTGAACTGAAGTTTTTTTTGTTTTGTTTTTTGGCTGTGATTTATTCTGTTGGTTGACTCCTGCAAGTGGTTGATGCATTTTGTTTCCCAGCAGGTGGTACTGTTTCAGCAGTCCAGTACTGTTAATCTGCGACCTACCATAATCTTTAGTTCATTAAAAATGATTGGTAAAGCCATTTTATTTTATTAATGGAACCGTATCCCGGAATTATTTTTTAAAACCTGAATTGCGCAATAGGACCATTTGTGAAGAAAAGCATAACTCTAGATTTTATTGAAAGTATGACTTGATAAATACATGTAATGCACATTGGGAAAATGATTATGACCAAAGTATTTGTGGTTTCATTGATTGAATTTGTATGTTTCTGACAAAAAGGCTTAAAATGAGTGAAACTGAAACAACCCCGAACAGTGTTTAAGAGCTTCAAGTCACATCCAGTAATCTTCACTCTATGTGATCTTCACTCTATGTGGGGAAGCATGGTTGCTTGGTTTTTCAATTTACCTGATAAGCCCAACATAAATTTTGCCCAGGCTACCTATTAAGTGCCTCCTACTACATGACCTGGAAAGGGCTAAAAGGAACAGAGACGGGTCAGGGTGTTTTGCTCTCACTCCATATGGTCATAATAAATGGTACTATTAAATCTGGAGTCCACGGTTTCACTCACACAGTTTCATAATTTTGTTCTTGCTAATGGAATGTAATGGTTTCTAGAAATTAGAGAATTATGTAATTAATTAGACAAGCTGCATTGTGTTTATGCAATATTTTGTTGTAAGATGAGAGATCCAATCAATTTTTAAGAAACAAACTGCTGTTCCCCCGAATTTAAGTATTTTCATTACTGTCTTTTGCTACTGTTCATAGAAGCGGAGTTGCCTAAAGGTCAATTTCACTAAATTGGAAACAACTTAATGTTAATGCTTACAGTATGATATTACTCTAACACGTCTAACACGTATAATCTTTTTTATACATTCATCATGACATTCTTCATAATAATTCACCACTAACTCAAAAGTCATGAGTCACATGAAAACATCAAAATGACTTGAAACTATAAGTGTAGAATAACCAAATGCAAGAAACCAAGAGTAAGTGTAGAGAACCATTAAAAAAAAAGTAAAGCTGACAAGAAAATGCTTATAACAGGAAAGACATCACTAGCATGGGCCATCAGGGCACAATTTGGGAACCATGCTTTATATGGATGGATGTAGGAAAGGTGTTTCTGCTGTTTGTGTGCTTACATTTAATTTGTCTGCCAAATGAATAAATGTAAATGTAAAGTCTTATACAACTGGAATTGCTGGTTCATATGTTGACTTTGTTTTTCCATGTAGCTTTATACAACTGTGTCTTATAGGGTGACTGAAAATCTATTTTAAATGTGGCGTCTAGGTCACAGGCACATTTGAAGCACATGACACTTGAGTGTGGTGGGGAATGCTAATGCCATCTGTTGTTCTTTTAAATGTTTAGATGCTGAATGGAAATTGCTCTGTTTTGAACTATAGTGGGCTCAAATTAAGATGTGACTAAAGCTTTGCATGCATGCCATGTGCATTTACAGGTATGCTGGAGAAGGAAATGACTATATGGATGTATCTGCATGATTTCTTGTGTAGATGGTTTGTTGGGATTATTTAATTGAAGTTTTTAAAACATATTGTAATGATTTTAAATATATATTAGCATTCTGAGATATTTGTCAGTGCTTAATGGTGCTTAATGAGTATTTCTATTTGCATAACACCGGTCCCTGCATTTAAATGTTATCATAAATATGGTGCAAGGTGATTGCAAACTAATTAAACTGGTTGACTAACTGATTAATTTAATACAATTTATTTTTTAAAAATCTACTGATCCACTGACCCAGTAGTCTAGTTCTCCTGCTGTAACATTTGTATTGAATGTCGCTGTCTTCCTGAAAACTAAAACTGTCTTCCTGTTAACTTCATGCAGTTTGACTTTTTGATCATCTAGATCTGCTGCACTTTTTGGGTGAGAAATGCCATGGTCAAAGGTATTTGATACATCTCTTTGTACATCCTTCAGCTTTACTGCTCCAATTTCATTTTTTTCTAACCATTGTTAACTGTGGAAAAGGAGAATAAATGGTCCCACTTCTTTTGTTAGTGCTATCTTTTTTTTTTTTTTTGATTTTCAAGAAGCTAAATAGTTAATGCTCAAATATATCTCATATATCTTACATTCTTAAATAAATTTTCCAACATGTTATATTTGTCTTTCGTATCTTCAGCTCTTAAGCTTGTACAGTAAGTACTTTATATAGTGTACATGTATATGTGTGTGTCTATATATATATATATATATATATACACACACACACATACAATACTAGGTAGATTACTTACAAATTATACTCCGTTACTGACTACAGATTACATGATGAAAATTGTAGTTAGTAAGGGAATCTAGGTTACTCATTTTAGGTAAGGTATTCTGACTACTTTTTAGATTACATTTCATCTAACTTGTTTTAAACTTACCACTAAATGTACCATATTGATATGAAAAAGTAAAGAGAAAGAAAATATAGTCCATTGTTTGAAATCAACTTCTTAAAATCCATTAAACATTACACAAGGTTTACCCAGTTTAGGCTTAATGTAAGAATTGTAGTGGGTTTGTGAGTTGATAAAAAGCTAATAATTAAATCATGAAAATGTCAAATAAAAATAATTTTAACTCTTGAACACTAAAAATAGAAATATTTGTTTTGCCTGCATGTCAGTGTGTCAGAGAACAGTAAACATGTGAATGCGTTGTTGAGATTCCAAGTAAATATTTAAGGGGTTTGGGAGTACATTACATGACCAAACATTAGTAAACATGAAAACAGCAATGAGATTACAATTCTCAAGTCTTCCAGGTTTGAAATATTTTTCTTCAGACTTCCAGTATCAACAGTTATTGAAGGTTACTGTATATGACAACGACGTATTTTTTCACAGCTACACATCACCAGTAATTTGGATAATTATTTGTTTCATACCCCCCAAAGTCAGAAGCATGGTTTGCAAATGTATTTACATGACATCTACATGGCCATTCTATATTATAAATAAAGTCAAAGCTAAATGCTGTAATTTTCACTTTTCAGTGCGGATGAGTAAATGTTCTAATCCTATGTGTTTGTTTCTAGGGGGAACAAAAACAACGACGGACCAGATTTCCGTGGACGTTTGAGAACATCTTGGCTCTCTTCGCAGTTAATCAAAGTTCTGCTTGGTTTACTATGTAGTAAGCCCAACTGAACTAGTTCCTCTAGCTCTTAAATTTGTTTTCAATTTTCCAACTAAAGACTAAATGTCACACTGTTCTCATTATCTACTTTAAGATGGAAATAGATTTTTGGACTGCTGTTCAGAGCAAAAAGTTAAAAAATTTTTTTTTATAAAATATTAAATATTTAACTTAAATATTTAATGTGACCCTGACAACTAACTGAAATAAAAAAGAAAAACATATTTTAAAAGAATAAAAACTAAACCACTAAGTGACAAAAGCACATATACAAATAAAGGTGAATTTGAAAATATCTATAATAGTTTTATAGAAAATATCTATAAAAGAACACTAACTAAAAATAATATGGTTTAAAATGGAAAAAGAAATTGTTAAATATCTTTATTTGCTTTTCTTTAAATAGAACTATTGTACATTTAAATTTATTTGTGACTTACTAATGAGAATGAATACTAACACAATATTTCATTTTAATTCTTATTCTATTCTTTACAAAAATATTTATTTATTTGTTTGTTTATTTTATAATGGCAGTTCAAGCTTTGACAGGATATAATGGGAACAGATGTGTGTGCCCTTGTTCTGTCTACATTTAGATTAGTAATATTTTAGATAAATCATTAAATATCAGATATAACTTTCCATCTTTATTGTGCTTTTCTATATGTACTTGAATATGATTTTCCAACTAAAGACTAAATGTCACACTGTTCTCATTATCTACTTTAAGATGGAAATAGATTTTTGGACTGCTGTTCAGAGCAAAAAGTTAAAAAATTTTTTTTTATAAAATATTAAATATTTAACTTAAATATTTAATGTGACCCTGACAACTAACTGAAATAAAAAAGAAAAACATATTTTAAAAGAATAAAAACTAAACCACTAAGTGACAAAAGCACATATACAAATAAAGGTGAATTTGAAAATATCTATAATAGTTTTATAGAAAATATCTATAAAAGAACACTAACTAAAAATAATATGGTTTAAAATGGAAAAAGAAATTGTTAAATATCTTTATTTGCATATTTCTGTTTAGTGATGTTTTCCTTCCTTCAATGTGAGTACCTGCCTCTATACAATGACTTCTATCTGAGCAACATGAGGAAGAAACTGGGTCTGCTGAGGAAGGAAGAACCAGAGGATGAGATACTCATCACAGAACTTATGCAGACTATGCATAACACACTGAAAATGGTGACTTCTCAGAGGTGGGGCCCTTACAAGCTTTGTTTTAGTTTTACTCTTTACTAAGACATATACTATCGATCAAAAGTTTGGAGTCAGTAAGATTTATTTTTTTTACTAAAATTAATGCTTTTATTCAGTTAGGAAATGCAATTGATCAAAAGTGACAGTTGAAGAATTTTACATTGTTATAAACAATTCTGTTTTAAATAAATGCTGTTATTTTATCTTTCTGTTCATCAAAGAAAAAAAAAAAAAAAATGTACCACAGTTTTTACAAAAATATTTAGCAGCACAACTTTTCTGAAAATTAGAGTTCAGCATATTTGAATCAAGCGATCATGTGAAACTGAAGACTGGAGTAATGACTGCTGAAAATTGCATTTTAAAATATATCAAAATGGAATTTACTAAGAGACTTATTTCAAAAAAATAAACAAATGTTTTGAATAGTTGTTATTATGTTACTATTGAAACTCAAAGCTGCAAACAGACCCACCATGGATCCACGGTAACACCTCACGGTATATTCTCATGTACACTACCGTTCAAAAGTTTGTGGTCAGAAAGAATTGTAAATGTTTTTAAAACAGATTATGCTCATATGCTCACCAAGGCTGCATTTAGTTTGATTAAATATATAGTAAAAACAGTTATATTGTGAAATGTATTACAATGTGAAATAATATTTTACTATATTTTAAAATGTAATTTATTCCTGTGATGGATAGTTGTTATTATGTTACTATTGAAAAGATGTTATAAATGTTATGATGTCTCTTAATAGTTAATGTTTTTTATTTGCGATCTTTATAATTTCTCGTTTTATGTGATTGTATGGCATAAATTCCATAAAGTCTTAAAAATCTGCATTTAAACTTTTTCGTCTTCTCAAATTCATTAGGTCCAGAGAGTTCTGAAAGTGTTAGAAAAGCCGTTCTCTGTGCAGGAAGGTCTTGAAAAGCCAGGCTGGGTGGGAAGAGGAGGAGCGGCGGATTCTGGAGAAAGAGATGAGACCGGAGAAGAAGGGAATACTTCTGGAGCAGAGGCTCGAGTACTTGTCCCATATGACAGCAAGCCCCCCATGTGGGCCAATAAGATCTGTGTCACCTGATCATCATAAAACCTTCATGACAACTAACCTGCTCATTTAAGCAGAATAATCCTGCAGAAGCTGGTGAGGTGTCAGTGAAGGTATTAAATGAGGCATTAAACTCCTGTCCACCAGTTCAAAACATGGAGTAAGATAATGTGTAGGGGGCTAAATGAAAATTCAGCACATTTATCTCTGTATATCTGACTGGTTACAAATGATGATTTAGACCCCCAGTCTAACCATGACGGGTCTGAGTCTGAAAGATAGAAGTTATGCCTTTATATAAAATGACTTTGGATTTGAAGTGAAACGCACACGCCATTGATCAACCAAGCTCCAAGCTTAAACGCACAAACAGACGTAATTGTTTACCTAAAGGGTCTTGCTTTAAATCATGTAGTTATACATGTACGTAGTGCTGATTTAACACAATTCATGTGTCGCTGGAATAGTCTTATTATTCAACAACTACATTTAATTACATTTTCACTTAAGTACTTTAAGTTTCCTTACCACACAGCTCCACCTAATTCATTTTTTAAATTGTAATTTGAAAATGCATAACTCATCAGAAGTGTACATTTTACATTTTAATTTTGGAGTTAACAGAGGTAGTACTGTATTTTCATATGCTTTGTGTCTATTCCTGAAATGCCATTTTGATTTCGTTCAAAATATAATTAACAGAATTTTAATGTCTTTAAGCATAGTTTCAATAACTGTGAAGTAATTTTCAGACATTATTTATATAATTTTTATGAACTTCCCTGATGAATATGCAATATTTCTAAGATAAAGTACTTATTTAATAAACATAACAAATAGCATGTGTTCTAATTTTGTAAACCAGGATTATTTCTGTAAAAGACATTTGGAACCTTTTCAGTAAGAGTGTGTGGGGAAGCGGCTTCCATTGTTTTCATTTAGGGAGGAATGTCTGCGCCTCGGGCCCAGTACTTAGGTAACATGTTAACACAGGTTCAGATGTGCACCTAAATATATTAAGGCAGATTTCAACAGTGCCAAGTACTTGCAGACAAAAAAAATCTCCCTGTAATCGATTGCATATAGCAGGGGAAACAAGCATTCTTGTTCATATTGTATAGCAGGGGAAACAAGCATTCTTCTTTGTTCATATTGTAAAAGACCAAAATGCATTGGACTCCCAAAGCCCTCGTTTTTATGTTTTTCAAGGCTGTGGAAGAACAAACATGCACCAGTTCTCAAATTAACTGAAGAACGATCATGTTCTTGGTTATTTTGTCTCAGTGACGCAACAATGTATGGAAAGCTGTTTTGACATTTATTCCATTAAACCAACTGGTATATATTTTATGGCACTAATACTTTTTTAATTACTAGTAAGTAATTTAATAATGATTAGACGACATTTTCAGTTTTATTACTAACTTTAATTTGAATTCCAAGTACTTATTCCGTTAGCATCTAGAATGTAGTATTACATATTCATTACATACAGGTGCATCTCAATAAATTAGAATGTCGTGGAAAAGTTCATTTATTTCAGTAATTCAACTCAAATTGTGAAACTCGTGTATTAAATAAATTCAGTGCACACAGACTGAAGCCAGTGTTAAGTTTCCACAGTCTGTGATGATTTGGGGTGCAATGTCATCTGCTGGTGTTGGTCCATTGTGTTTTTTGAAAACCAACGTCACTGCACCCGTTTACCAAGAAATTTTGGAGCACTTCATGCTTCCTTCTGCTGATCAGCTTTTTGAAGATGCTGATTTCATTTTCCAGCAGGATTTGGCACCTGCCCACACTGTCAAAAGCACCAAAAGTTGGTTAAATGACCATGGTGTTGGTGTGCTTGACTGGCCAGCAAACTCACCAGACCTGAACCCCATAGATAATCTATGGGGTATTGTCAAGAGGAAAATGAGAAACAAGAGACCAAAAAATGCAGATGAGCTGAAGGCCACTGTCAAAGAAACCTGGGCTTCCATACCACCTCAGCAGTGCCACAAACTGATCCCCTCCATGCCACGCCGAATTGAGGCCGTAATTAAAGCAAAAGGAGCCCCTATCAAGTATTGAGTACATGTACAGTAAATGAGCATACTTTCCAGAAGGCCAACAATTCATTAAAAATGTTTTTTTTTATTGGTCTTATGGAGTATTCTAATTTGTTGAGATAGTGAGTTGGTGGGTTTTTGTTAAATGTGAGCCAAAATCATCACAATTAAAAAAACCAAAGACTTAAACTACTTCAGTCTGTGTGCATTGAATTTATTTAATACACGAGTTTCACAATTTGAGTTGAATTACTGAAATAAATGAACTTTTCCACGACATTCTAATTTATTGAGATGCACCTGTAATTGTAATATTACTTTACTACTAGTCACTGTCCCAATAATGACAATTATCTCATTTTTATTTTAACAAATTTCTTTGCCATTTAATTCTATGGGAATCTGTGTTCAGATATCAGCTGTTAATTCTGAGAGGGTGTTTACACAGCAGCGTTTTCAACTAAAAACTTTTTATACGTTTTGGTTGTTCATTTACACGACAACAGCATTTTGGAGGCCTGAAAATGCAAACTTTTGAAAGCAGGTTTCAAAGTGCAAGTTTTTGAAAACGATACTGTCAGTCTGTGTGCAAATGTGCGCAAGCATGTAGCATTTCTTTACAAAGTGACATCAGCAACTACTGACCTGGCATGCATAATACACCATTTTTAGCCGTTTTTTGTCTGCATGCGAAACTTTTCAAAAACACAGAGGAAAGCTTTTCAGTTTTTAGTACAATCGTTGTCATGCAAACATACTCAATGTTATTCATTAGTATGTTTTCAATATCTTGCTCATACCTATTCCAGTTTTACTTGTAACTATTTAATTACTAGCATCTATTCCAGTTTTCCTAGTACTGAATGGACAGTTTTCTGGGATAGACTGAATACTAGTCTCTACTTGAATCATAGTTATTTAGAATAGTTAGTGACCCTGGGAAATAAACTGGTCGCTATTTGGTTACTTACTAATGTATTTTTAAAGTATTAGTAACATTAAAATAGGTTTGGTTTAACAATAGCTTTATGTTAAAACGGCTTGCCATACACACGGCCACGCCGGAGAGGGAGCGGTTGCGCGGGCACGCACAGGTAGATTTCTATTATCAGTGTTCAGGTTAATCTGGAAATCACAGCTGCGGGTCTCGAGGTAGCACATATTTTTCACCAATATGTCAGGCCGATCAAGACCTGGCTATTATCGTCAGGAGGTAAATAAAACCTGTTGGGAGGTCCCGGAGAGATACAGAGATATGAAACAGGTGGGGACGGGGGCATATGGTACAGTATGGTGAGTGTAATCTCATTTTCTGTACTTCCTGGAAAGATTCGTGCTTTACATTTTAAAAACACGTAATGCCTTGTCACTGTAGCAGATCCATGTATCTGGCGTCTATTCAAAACAAATGATGTGTAAGGAGGTAGTCAAGCACAAGTGAAAGATTACTTTATGATTAAGATGCCCAGAAGTGGCTTGAGATATTCAGTTGTACAGTATGTTTGAGAGTAGCCTGCGTATGTTTTCTCACTGCGTCTTTATAAAGATATTCAAGATAAACAAAGACAGAAAATGAGAGTTCCAAATGAGAAATCCAGTGCCTGCAAAACTACGTTGTGTACAGCTCATTGCATTACTATGAGGTTAATAATTGTAAGATGGCAGCTGTTGACGAATACTGTGGTCAGGTGATGCTGGTTTATTGCATGTCCTCACCTTTCCATATTTGATTTAAAAGGCCCAGAGGAATATCCCAGAGTAATATACCACTATTGAGACACGTCCCACAACTTAAAGGTGCAGTGTGTAAATTGTAGCGTACGGTGCCCGTAAGGTGACATGTTCGGTTCACTTAGTTGTATTTATTATGTCTATGGCTCACCCCACCAGAGAAGCTACGGTGGCCGATACAGGACTAAAGCCCAATTTATACTTCTGCGTCAAACCTACGCCGTAGCTTACGCATAGACACACACCCATACGCCGTAGCCTGAGATGCTTCTCTCCAAAAATGTAACAGCGGGTCAATTCTATGCAGACGCAAGCGCTGTGATTGGTCTGCAAGAACCCCTCCCTCCATATGTACTTGAGTTTTGTGTGTGTTTATGTGCACTTTAATATATTTTAATGTTACACCTTCTTATATAAAATAAAACAAAGCAAAGAACAAGTGTCTTATCATTTATTATACTACATAGCATTATACATCAGTAGTTGTCCGCAACAAACAATGTTGATCTGCCGTGGTACAAGTCCTTGTGCAGATTGAAAAAATGCCATCATCTCCTGTTCCGTTGTTGTCTCCTTTTGTAGTTTTAAATAATGATTTAATGATTTGATATTTATTTGCCGTCGTCACCGCTATAATGCTTCTCCGACGAGCCGCTTCTTCTTCGGCTTTTGCCGTGGTACTGCGGGTTACACCAGCAACATGCCCGTGGACACTGCTGACTAGCGGTTTGCATGTGCACTGCACGTTGAGGCGGACAACAACGCAGAAGTATAAATGAAAACTGACACATAGCCTACGGCGTAAAGGCTACGACGTAGGTCCAACACAGAAGTATAAATCAGCCTTAAGGGTGAATGGATGTTTGTCAGAGGTACTGTCTTCATCCACAGGGTCCCCTCGGGGATGTGTGCTTTCTCCACTCCTGTTTTTATATTTATATTTTATACACTGACGATTGCAGGAGTAGGCATGAGAATAGATTTATTGTAAAATATGCAGATGATTCAGCTATTGTCAGCCTCCTCCATGCTGATGAAAATGACCATGGCCTCGTGGTAGATGATTTTGTTCAGTGGTGTGATAATGCACTCCTGCAAATAAATGTATTAAAAACTAAAGACATGCATATTGATTTTAGGCGTAATCAAAGTGATGTAAAGAGAACAACTATTAAAGATCAGGAGGTGGAGGTTGTGGAATCATATAAGTATTTGGGATGTGTGATTGATAACAAGCTGAATTTTAATGTCAATGTGGAGAAGATTTGTAAAAGGGGCCAGCAATGTCTGTATTGTCTACGGAGACTGTCCAAATTTAACGTTGATAGATCCCTGATGACTCTGTTTTACAAATCTTATATTGAGTCTGTTTTAACATTTGCTATGTTATGCTGGTATGGCAGTCTTAGTGTGAAGGCAAAGACGGCATTGGTGAAAATAGTTAACACTAGCAGTAAGGTTTTAGGAGTTCAGCAGAGTCATCCTACCGACCTATATAATCGCCAGGTAGTTAGAAAAGCCCAAACTATATTAATGGTTACTTCCCATCCTCTCTACTCTGAGTTTCAGTTTTTACCCTCAGGATCTCGGTTAAGATTTCCTTCTGTTAGGAGTAACAGGTACAAACATTCATTTATTCCTACTTCTATCTCTTTGCTAAATTCGGGCAGGTGGGGAGTAGGTGGAAGCAGGTAGTTGCACCCTGGTGGCTGGCTGCAGTACAGGTCTTAACCCCCGCCCTCTCCATGTAAACGAATGGGACTTGAGTCGAAATAAAAAAATAAATTACACTTCCAATACAATTTTCCGAAAGATGGTTTTGGTCATTAAAGGTAGTTGTTATCATGCTGATATATGTTCAATTGTTCGTTTTTGTGATAAGTTTTAGTAATTTGAGTAATTTGATGCTATAAAAACGGGGCGTGTCGTTATGGTTGATTGGATCTGCGGGAGTTGTTTGATACCTTTGATACCGCGGCTCCACCCGTCATTTACTCAAGATGGCAGCGGCCATACTGAGATGCTTTGGCTTCACTTTTCTATAGTGGAAGGAATAGGAGACGCGTCGTCCATCTTTTTTTACAGTCTATGAAGGGGACCTGCGGTGTATGTAGATATGTAGATATAAATTGCTCATTCTAAGTTAATAAAAACATAACGGTTCATTGTGTAAGGTCTTTATACACCTCTGAAAACATAGTTATGTATATTATATTGCATTTCTGTCAATAGATCCTCCTAAATATTACACACTGCACCTTTAATATGTCATTTAAAAAATCCACTTTGAAATTATAGGCTATTACCATTTACTATCCCTAAAACCACTCGTCCTCAGACCAATCCTTCATTTAGATTAAAATATATCACTTAAAAACACAAATATACTTTTACTTTACTTTACTTTACTTTTAGTCATTTAGCAGACACTTTTATTCTTTTTACTTTTACTTTTTACTTTTAGTCATTTAGCAGACGCTTTTATCCAAAGCGACTTACAAATAAGAAAAAGTAATTAAAACTAAAAGCTAAAACTCTATAAATACTATATATACAGTATAAACACATTTAAGAAAATTAAATAAATTAAATAAAAATGACAAATGCATACATTTCAAAACTAAAACATTTAAATGAAAACAAAAAAATAAAGCTAAAAACAATTCAAAATATTAAAAGAACAAAAGGTATGAGTATAATAATGATTCTAACATAACACTAAGCCAAACACCAAAAAACAACTACATATGTGTATGTACAGCCACACACATATACATATACATGTACATATATATAAATACATTCAATATATATATATATTATTTCATTTCCATTTTGTATGTTGAAGTACTGAAATAACTAAAACTTAATAAAAAGCCTATATAGACATAATAAAAAACTAATAAAATGACAACATTACTACAACTGTAACTAATACAAATCGATAGATAACTAATACAAATCAAACTACATTAGTTTATCAGTAATCCTAAAAAAATAAAATTTAAAAAACACATTACTACTTCTCTTAGTTTCTTTTGACATAGCAATAGCTTCTTTTGTTGTAAATTCTACTATATTTAGTTCAAAATTCATGTACATAATAGTATTTATTCCTTCGCTACTAGTCACTACCCTAGTTAGTGACAAGTAATTTCATTTTTACTGGTAACTAATTTAATTGGCATTGAATTCTGTGGGAATATGGTTCAGATATTTATTAATTTTTGAATGCTGTAGTATGTTTTCCAGTTTGCTCGAACCTATTACAGTTTTACTTGTAGCTATTAAAATAGTTTCTAGTGTCTATTCTAGTTGTCGTAAACACTAGTTTTAACTTGAGGGATAGATTAAACAGACACTAGCCACTACTGGAATCAGTTCTAGTATCTAAATAATAGTTAGTTTTTACACTGAAAAATGTACTAGTCAATATTTGATTACTACTTAGTTTTTTGTTTGTTTGTTTGAAACATTAAAATTGATAATACTTTGGTTTACATAATAGCTATATGATAATTCAATGGCAATAACATTTATATTTCTGTACTCTAGTTTGAAATGCATGTAGCACTTACAACTGGTGATTTACTCCTCAGCTATGCATTTGACCGGAGGACAGGGGCAAAGGTGGCCATCAAGAAACTCCATCGTCCCTTCCAGTCTGACCTGTTTGCCAAAAGAGCTTATCGGGAGCTCAGGCTGCTCAAACACATGAAGCATGATAATGTAGGACACCAAAGATTGACACTCCATGATGAGGGTTTCTCATCTGCCCTGTCATATTTGAACAGATTTGCAGGCTTCATGCTGTGCTGTATTTAACAACCACTTTCTCTGGTTGAACCCGTACAGGTTATTGGGCTCATGGATGTTTTCACTGCAGACCTTTCTGTAGACAGATTCAATGACTTGTGAGTATTTTACAAGTGCTTTGACCATTTGGTCTAGCTGTGATTGTTTTGGATGTGTATAGTGATTCTTGGATGCATGGTCATCATCTGATTCTCCCTATCCTTTGCACAGTTACTTGGTCATGCCTTTCATGGGTACTGATCTAGGAAAGTTAATGAAAATGGAGAGACTGTCAGAGGACAGGGTCCAGTATCTGGTCTACCAAATATTGAGAGGACTCAAAGTGAGTATTGGAAGTTTTTAGTAATAAATACTTGCTCTCTCAAATATATTGCCATAAATCTCTTTGTGTTCCCAGTATATCCATGCTGCTGGAATCATTCACAGGGTGCGTAAGGTTGTTTTAATCATAAATACATATGCACACATGTATTTCTCTCTGCAAAACCTCTGACTTCATCTGTTAAAACCTGCAGGATCTCAAACCAGGCAATCTGGCAATAAATGAGGAGTGTGAGCTTAAGGTATCTTACCATGAAGTGGTATTTGCATATTCATGCTGTGTGCCTCTTGTCGAGATAAAGCCTTGTGTCTTATATTACAGATCCTGGATTTTGGTCTAGCTCGGCAAGCAGACAGTGAAATGACGGGCTATGTTGTGACACGTTGGTACAGAGCGCCTGAGGTCATTCTTAGCTGGATGCATTACACACAGACTGGTTAGTTCCATGTTGCATGCACTAACCTTTATATATCTTTATGTATTTATTTATTAGAATTTACTGGTTGCATGCATTTTTTGAGCATTAACTGAGGTTGCTCTGTACTGTATTGTGAAACACTATCCATACTGTGATTAAAAGCATATGTTAATACTAAATAAAGATCAGTGTTAGCCTATTTTATTGCTCTCATAAAGGCAATAGAAAATTCTGGATTAATGAAATAACGCACAATTGCTATTTAAACTGATGATAATACAGAGATATGTTTGTGTTTGATTAAATGTTTCCCATCAGTGGACATCTGGTCAGTCGGATGCATCATGGCAGAGATGCTGCTAGGGAAACCACTGTTCAAAGGAAATGACCGTATCCTTCCTCGCAGGAAAGCTGTGAATTTTATGCACAAATTTAGGAGAATATTGTATTTCTGATGTGGTGACTATTTCCCTAAATCTCATCCCCGGTATATTTGAATCCTTGACCATTTTCCACCAGACCTGGATCAGCTGATGGAGATCATGAAAATTACAGGGACGCCCGCAAAAGAGTTCACAGCCAAACTACAGTCTGAAGATGTGTGTTTCAGTCATATTTTCATACTAAGACTAGTTTGCAGACCTCTCACCAGATATATTGTGAGATGTGAAAATCTAAACCACATTATATATTTTTATAATCCACAAGTAATGCACATGACTCCAGTCCATCAATTCACATCAAGTGAAGTGAAAAGCTGCATGCTTGTAATAAACAAATCCACCAAGACATTTTTAACTTCTGTTCTGTTTTAGTCCTCTGTCCATAATATTGCTTTCTCCAGTGAAAAGTCATCTGAATCAGGAGAAAAATATGCACAGATCAATCACTGTTTACAAGCAAAAACTGTTATGTCAATAAACAAATATGTTGATGGATTTTGATGTGAGGACAACAGGTGATGGACTTTTTGGACTTGTATGGAATATTATGGATTTGTCTTTTGTCCAGAAGTGACAGTTTAAAGTTAAAATGCCTTATTGACAGCTTTTCACTTCACAAGACATTAATTGATTGACTGGAGTGGATTACTTTTGGATTACTGTGATGTTTTTATCAGCTGTTTGGACACATCCTGACGGCACCCATTCACTGCAGAGGATCCATTGGGTACAATGAAGATACAACCTTAGTTAGTATTTTACTCTTATGTATGGGAAAGTTTATTCTGGAGAGTTAAGAAATAACCGGTTTCCCTTTTTTGTCTATTTTTCTGTCCACCTCTGTTCCTTCTATTCCCTCTTTGACCCCAGAACTCACCTTCACTGAAATTCTGACCTTCCATCCGGCACCAGCGGTGGCAGAATCCAAAGAGACGGCTCTCTGAGATGATTATTTTACATTATCAAGGCTTTACATTTTCATTGTACCTGTACCATTTGTCATATACAGACTTTGAATTATTTTTTTGAGCGAGTGTACTGTTTATTTTTAGCTTATCAACCTGTTGTTTGCTAGTGTTTGGCACAGTTCAACTAGGCACAACTGAACTATTGGCAGACCAGCACCATTCTGAGTGAGCTGAAGATTTTTTTTGCAAGTTTTGCAAGTATGTAAAGTACCTTTATTTTTTATTAGTAGTATTTTCTCAAGCAAATCACAAGCATTAATGGCATTAATGCTGACACATAATTACACTGGAGATAATTTCACTGAAATGCTGCATTATAAATGTGTGCATGTTTTATATGTTTACTTTTAGTCCTGAAATAGAAAAAAAAAAAACTCTTTTCAGGTTTTTGCCAAATCCCACAGCCAAATACTTCAGTGTCTGCAAAAGTATTAATTTTACATTTTAAAACAGTTTGCCAATCTGGCCACAGTCACAAATGCAGAGTCCAGAAAAATCACATTCAATTTTTGTGTTATATTTTTAAATCAGGTGTACAGAAAAAGAAAAGTAGAATGATTAAAAGATAATTTGATAAATTTTCAGCTTGTGATGTTTCTAATTCTTATCCTCAGTTGTTGTTGTTTTTAACTATATTTCTGTGTATTCGAATGCATTTCCGTGTCACTTTAACTTGTTTGGAAGGCAATGGAAATCTGGACAATTTCTCATGAAATCCAGCAGAGGGCAACATCTACACTTACTGTGCACTTTCTTTAATAACATTTCACGGTAATAATTCTTAGCTGCATTATTACACTAGAAACTCCATTTAGACTTTAGGTCCCATGTCCATCCTCTGTTTTTATTTGTTTTATTAAATGTTTTCTCATGTCATTAATTTAATAGTGAGCATTGCTGCTACATGCCAATACTGTGCTGTCGTTTCCTGTAAAGGGATGTAGTTGTTTTAGCTCTAAGTCCTCAGTTGACCATTGAGCTTCTAGTTTAGGGACACAATTCCTTGTCCCATGTGAGTCTTTCTCTGTTCCTGTTGCCTGTCTTTGATACCTGGCCTTTTTTGGCCTCCGTTTAGAGTCCTTGTGTGGTTCATATGGTCAGAGATTGTTCTGCCCGAAGGAAAACAGAGGGGGGAAATACATTTGTATGATGTATGTACATTACATACAGCCAGATGTAATGACACAGAATAAAAGAGGAAGATAGCAAACAAAGCCATCAAAGTTTCTTCTCTCACTGGTTTATTTAAAGTACTTCTCTGATTTGTTGACGCAAATATCTTTCTGTGAAAAAGTGGCTGCACAGTGCAGAACTGAATACCACAAAGGTGTTTGTAAAAAGTCACTGAAGTTTAAAGCAGTTTCAAGATGTATGTACTGTTAAATCGAACGCGAAAGTTTATGCAGAAGGTTTTAAAGGAATAGTTCTCACAAAAATTAATATTCGCTGAAAATTTTCTTACAGTCAGGCCATCCAACATGTAGATATGTAGAAGTTTAGCATTACATGACTTGTTACATCACCTGTAGTGAATAGGTGCCATCATAATAAGAGTCCAAACAGCTGATAAAAGCATCACAATAATCCACATGATTCCATTAACATCTTGTGAAGCAAAAAGCGAGAACTAGTAAGGCAAGAATGGATCGCCATCAGTCAGGATTTGGCCCAGAAGCTAATATCCAGCATGCCGGAGCGAATTGCAGAGGTTATGAAGAACAAAGGTCAACAGTGATATTGACTCATTATATTTTTTTTGCCAACAAAAGCCTTTAAAACTTATGATATGCTTATTGTTTTTCAGTATAGCATAGAAACATGTGGAAGAATAATCTGCAAATACTGAAGCAGCAAACTTTGCAAAACACAAAAATTTATGTCACTGCCAAAACTTTTGGCCATGACTGTAATGCTTAATTCCTCCATATCTGTTCCAGTGAAGGGCATCATTTGTATGATTATGATTATATATATATATATTTTTTTTTTTGGGCGGGGGGTTAAGGATTATTTGATGAATAGGAAGAACAGCACAGCATTTATTTGAAATAGAAACATTTTGTAACATTATAAATGTTTTTTTTACTGTCAATTTTGGTCAAATATTTTGCATCCTTGCTGAATAAAAGTATTAGTTAAAAAATGTTTTAAAACGTACTAACCCCAATGGTACACTCTAAAAAATGCTGGGTTAAATATAACCCAGCGCTGGGTTAAAAAGGGACAAACCTATACAACCTACAGCTATTGGGTTGTTTTGAACCCAACCGCTTGGTCAAAACAACCCAATAGCTGGGTTTGTCCCTTTTTAACCCAGTGCTGGGTTATATTTAACCCAGCATTTTTTAGAGTGTGATGACAAAATTTAATACAAAGAAATAAAATAAAAAAGGCCTCTAATACTAGCTTGCTCTATTCTTATTTTTTATTCTATCTGTTTTCTTTTTATTTATTATATGCACTCTAAAAAATGCTGGGTTGTTTCAACCCAACATTGGGTCAAAAATGGACTAACACAACTTTTGGGTTAAAAATTTAATTAAAAAATGTAACCCAGCGGTTGGGTTAGTCCATATTTGACCCAAAGTTGGGTTGAAACAAACCAGCATTTTTTAGAGTGTATGAACGGTTTGAATGGTACTGTATCTCAATATTTATATACCAATATCAATATATATATACCAATATATGTATTTGCTCTTGGCAAGTAGATTCAAAATGTTTAAATGCCAGAACTACAAAACAATAAAAATCTAGATAACATAATCTAGATGGCATGTTTTCAATAAATGAAAAAGAAGAATGATATGCAATCATTTTCATTTATGTACATTTATATTGTGTTATTATTAACAGCTATATTTACCTGTTAATACAGTTTAAAACATGGTTTTAAATACAAAATCTTTTGTAACGTTATGAGCATTGTCACTTTTAATCAATTTAATGCATTCTACTGAATAAAGGTCTTAATTTATTTAATTAATTAGAAAAGAAAATCTTATTTTTACATTTAACATTTTACATTTCTACATTTAATAATCTCATAAGCAGTCTTGGTTGCACTGTGCAACACTGTCTATCATACTCTCCTGCTTCATGCTCTCTGCATATTTTACTGTTTACTTTCTCTCTGTCTCTTTCACAAGCACAGGGAGATGCACGTGCCTCCTCACTGTCTAGCTGATCTTGAGGAATCCTTTGGCTTAGCGGGCTGCGCAAGAGGAAATTCCACCGGCTCAAATGTTCTCAGTAAAGGCCTCAGTGTGGATCAAGGACCCGGAATCCCTGCAACCCATCGACTCTGTAGGGACAGCGAGGGGCCGGGAGGAATGAACGTGACGGTACCACAGATGGTTCTCCTCCAGTCAGCAGACAGACTATGGTTAGAATGGTATTTTAAGTATCACCATGCTCATAAAAACTGTTACCCAAAACATATGTGCATGATCTTAAGAAGTTCGTATTGTTTTCATTCCACATCATAATTCTGTTGATGAAGAATAATAAAGAAAGGGTGAGAGTGCTCATATCGTAGATTATAATGCATCAGGACTGTTTTCAGAAAAAATCTCTGATGGATTGTATGTGTGGTATCATCCAAAAGGCCCTAGAGAGAGTCACTCTGTACGTAAAGGTTGCACTTGACTGAAAAATATCCAGCTCCCATTATGGCTCGACAAAACCTGTCAAAGTTATAAGGTTTACAGCTGCTTAAATACTGTGAAGGTCAGAGGTGGTTCCTTGAATTGATCTTTTTGGAGGAATTCAGCTGTTTTAAAGAACAGAATGTTCCAGTGATGTAAGAAGAATGCAACAACATCCCCCTGCTTTAGAAAAGTTCTGGGGGACTTTTAGATTTCTTTAGCGGTACTCCAGGAAATTGTGGTTGCGGTTTCACTGTGGTCAGTTATATGCAGTTGGCTCATAAATTAAGTGTATATCAAAACAACTTTTCAATGGTTCACCAGACATTTGTTCTTTTGTCAGGAGAATACTTTGTTATTGCTGACATTCAGTTTTAGATTACATTGATGCTACTACTTGCAGTCTATGGCAAGTTCTTTATTTATTTATTTATTTATTTTTGTGCATGTGTGTGTGTGTCTTTTGTATTTGTGGATTGTTGTTCATTTTAGGCTATACACAGGCTATATACACATACATTTTAAAGAAAGTAATACTTTTATTCTGCCATCTATCTATCTATCTATCCATCTATCTATCTGTCTGTCTGTCTGTCTGTCTATCTAT